AACTAAACTTAAAAACGTGAGTGGTGTGTAAATTACGTAAGGCACAACCCTGCACAACCCAATATCGATGATGATAGCTGGGAAAAGCCGTTTATGAATACCGAAAGATATTTGGGAAAACACCAATAAAATAAGAAAATCTCGTTTAGATTTGCATCACGTACTTTCACCAGATGATGTAGGCGGTCGAGGAAGCGGAAAAGTGTTGTATCATTCGTCGAATATCACTACTACTTTTGGTACCGTAAAGAATCGTTTAATCTACGGTATCGTAATCGACTTTTAAGATTTTCACTTTTACGCTAAATAAACTTACTTGTAGCACCTTTTTATTCCTTCCTCCTCTTACTTACAGCAGATTGCATAAATTTTAATGTTTAAATGTTGCAAATACCTATAATTATGTTTCAATTTCATCCAAAAATAAAAAACATTGGATGTCTACAATGTTTTTATTTATTCTGGTCAATCAAGTCTGACTACTATAATAATGTAATGGCGTAATTATCAACAAAGTAGCTATCCGACGTTGCTACGTTTGGCTAAATAATTATCTGTAACTTTAGTCAGAATAAAATTATTAATCAAAAATCAACATATCTTGCTAATTTGTCAAACAAATCTTTGCCAGCTGAAGGATGTCCTGATCACTATTGTACGCCCATTCACGCTGTGAGCACCCCCACTGAAGATGAAAGCTCGCCTGACAAAAACAAACATTGTGACTTGTTGGACCAGAGTTAAACTAGTCCCCCAACTCAAAACTTTGTAAACATGGCAAGTTCTAATGTCAATACTATGTATGCAATAATGCAAAAACACAAGACACTTGTAACGGAAGGAAAAAACAACAGACAAGGCTGTTATGAATGATTTTGAAAATTTGTTTTTCCGTTCGCCACGATAAAAGCGAAAGATAGGAAATGAAGTTTTAGAACAAGAAACTGCAAGTTCGTTAACGAAGTCTAGCAAAGAATCCTACTAAACTTTAGCCTCATTGTGCCTTGTTTTGTCTTATGTAACAATTGTCCTAATTAGGATGGGATCTGCTTGAAATTGCTCCCAATGCCAATTTCAGAGCCGTTCCATAAAAAAGAATCTGGATTTCAAACAAGGTCCTTATTATGCGACAGTTGGAACGGTTAAAATAACTAAAATATCAGTTGTGATATCAAAATTGCTGCATTACAAAAAGAAAGCCGGCACAAGACAAATTTGCAAACAAGAATCTTCAGTCTTATCAAGGAAAAATTTCCAACGAATTAATCTTCCTTAAATAATTGTAAGCGCATCACAAATGAAACTTAAGGAATCAGAGGGAATTACATAACTTTAAAAAAATTTGCTGTTATCTGTTAAAAAGATAATTTTAAAACTGAAGACAAATGTCGAGGGAAACAATCAAACGAAAAAAGCATTTATTCGCTTCTAGAAAATTAAATGGTTTTGATATAAAGTTGGTAAAAGTCCATTTATCTTTCGAAGCAAATGGAAATATATATTACACGTAATGTTTGTTTTAACATGGAATTTGACCAGGGGGGGAAAGACTAGCTTTCAATGCCAAAACCTCTCTTCAAAAAAGTTTTAAATAAATACGGAAGCAATTGATGATACACAATAGACCCATTACAGTCGGAAAGTATCCGAGTAAGCTAATTTCGCGTTAGGCTATATATAAAGATATTATAAATAAACTGTGATATTTTTGTACGAGGAGTAAAACCCGTCTCATAGTGGCGCGCTCCACACAGACCCAGAGAGGTACAGTACAACTTTCTCACACAGAAAAATTCACCATCTATTTCTGGGCAGTTGTCTTTGGCTGGTTAATTTAAAAACTGGTCAATTGATATTTGTTCGTTCATGAAACTCCGTTTCTATTCTACGATCATATTCAGTGTATAATTTTAGTCAGACAGTGATTGATGGCAAATGAAAATCACTCTCCTAAATTACCATAATCGACGGGAATTTCACATTTTGAAAAGGAGTCCACCAACCAAGATGTCAAAGTCATTTTCGTTTACCTTGGCCCAGCGAAAGGGATCTAGAAAATAGAGGCCAAGAATACTGACGAAATGTAAACAAGGAAGGATAGGGATATTCCTGGAAGTTCGAAGTTCAAATTTCTGTTTGGGCCAACGGCTGACCGATTCGGCAACGATGACCCAAGGGATCCTCCGTATGGGCATACTTTAACCTTTCAAAAGTTAAGTGATAAAATTATTTTCATTTAAAATCATGAACTATGAGGGGTTTCTTTTCTTTCACAGATCGCATATATATTTCATCCCGCTGGTTGCCGATGATTTTTACTAACGGTATCGATATTTTTTCAGGGTGTTTTATTTAGGTCAGGGAAGAAAAAAATCGATTACAACTAACCCGAGAACGATAAGTGGCAGGCCTCCAGAGATATTTCATTACAAAATTTGACCCTTTGTACGATGATAAATATTGTCATTGGCTCTATTCGGTCAAGGATCTTTTTGTTTGTTTCATTACGAAGATCGTTGTTATTAATCAGAGATGCACTTTTTCGCGAGAATGCTGCAATAGCTAAACTGCAGATATGCAATTCATGATGATAATTAATAAATTGATAGAACGAGGATAATGGTTTATCATTTTGTGCCAGAGTTGTTCAAGTTATAACTCTTGAGCAGGGTTTAAAAAACCTTCAAGATTAAGTAAAATACGTCGTTTCACATACAGCGATAGGTCAACCGAACACTCGAGATAAACCGACTCCGATGGCAAACAAATTTGATAAACTTAGAAGCATTGTGATAAACACTCGACTAGACCCTTTCAGCCTAACAATCTGTCAAATTCTGAAGTTTTCTTTAAAACATTTTAACAATTACAAATCGCGTGTTTGGAATGCAAATATAGTTTTCAATAAGAGAGGCAGGTGATGATTTATAATAGTAACTATTCACCACATAAATCATAATGGCAATCTAACTCAAAAAACCATGTCAGTTTTAACTCAAACTGAAAACCTCTTGCTCCAATTATGTAATACAGTAAATTAGAGTGTGAATGTATTGATCTGACTTAAACAGGACCTTGGCCTGGCAACACCTTACAAGTTGTCAAAGCGTCAAGCTTTTTAAGAAAAGCCATTTGAACTTTTATAATTTCTCTTGCTCAGTTCCCACAACACAACGGACTTTTAAACGCCAGTTAAAGGTCGTAATTAAACGGTTAGTGAGACAAACAAGTTCGTATTAGTCCTAATTGCTCTTTACTATGATACAAACACATCCGATCCAATTCCCTCAATTAAGACCCTCTTTAAAATTCGGAGTCGAGCACAGTTCGATTATCGCGGAGTGGCAAAATTTTTCCAAAATACATCAGAAACCGGTCGTTGTAACAAACATAACGCGCCTAAACAGTCGTAAAACAAGCCGGAATTCCAGTGTTTGGCCTTGCCGCATCAGACTCCAGAGGAAACGGACTTGGTGCCATCTGCTTTTTCCCCCCCTCGAGCAAAACTAATTTGAAGGAAAGCGTGCATCATCTGTGATAGTAAGACGATTTTTTCATCAGGCCAATGATGTAAACCATTTCCAGAATATGCCATGACAAATATAGACGAATTATTATACACACGTCCTCTTCACCTTACATATGTACCAAATTTTCAAGGGTGAATCTACCGTAAGTTCTACATTTAGGGAAAATACATTTAGTAAATGAAAATTTCTGTTAAAGTAGAAATAAAATAGCTGACCTCCCTTACACGTCTTATAGCAATTCTATCTCCAACCGTTGTTGGCCTAATCAATATTTGTGTTTCTTTCAGTAAGGTCATCCCAAACAAGGAGTCAGATGGTTAAGATAAAAATGTTTATGTGATAAACTGATAACATTTTTTAGATAAGTCCGGTTAGTTGCAATTAAAACTCAATTTGCCTTTTGATTTTAGCTAATATACTTAATTAGCATTTAAGGTCAAAGTTTAACCAATGTTTCCAAATACGTCCATTTGCAGTCTATTGATGTTGGTTTCCAAAAAAAGATGGACAGTATAAAACTTGCAAGTTATATTCTTATATGCAAGTATTCTAATTTTTGTTGATTTCTTGTACGTTCAAATATGAACCCACGATCAAGGAACTCTTAATTGTTTTGTTTTAAGTAATTTTTCCTTAAGACGTAAGATGTTTCTGACTATCAACAAGTATTTTAATAGTTTTATATATCCCATATAAAAACAAATCAACAAAGGAAAAACCCCAATCAACGCAGAAATCTGAATATTCATATCAAAAATATTATATTTCCACTGTCTCATTACTTTATGTAGTAAACTGTATAATAAACATATTAACATTCAGGATTACACGGCAATCGTGTTATATTTAATGTGCCCATAAATAAGCTAGTTTTCAAATCAATTAAACATTTCCCGAGTGTATTAATTATATTTACTGTTGTTAGAACAATTTTAATTATAATTCAATGTTTTAATCTACAATAGAATGCCTCAGACGGAGTCTAATGTTGGCTCCAGGCCCAAACATGAATACATTCACATCACCTGGTTACTTTTGTTTCGAGACTACCAATCCATGCCATACTAATCGGTTGGATTTCAATAGTTGCCGTTTAAATTATTGAATTTGCCGTTTATTTATTTTTGTGACTCCTGTAAATGGATTTTAAACAACAGTACTTGCAAAAAACAATCATAGTTTGGAAACTTGCGAGGAAAAGAACGGTTTATTACACTATAAATATGTGCTGAAATTTTAATTGTAAAAGTTAATTAAGAACGAGAAATCAAATAGGTACAGTTGTTAAATTTTGACCGATTTATTGTATTATCTTGATGGATTCGTTTGTACTAATTCTGAAACTGTTCTGAAAAGCTGAAAGTATAACTATAGGGACTGTGCGTATTACAAATTTAAAATAAAAGAAGCTTTTTTAATCTTTCTTCCAGGAGCAAAAAAACTTTTTAAAAAAATAAATTTATCTCCTACCTGAACTATTTGCGGTTTGATGAGCTTGACGACGTTTGGATGCTGCTGGACGGTAACGTACTCTCGTTTTTTTCGTGCGGTCTGTTGTTGGCCGTCCTTGTAACTTTTGAGGGTAACCGGCCCCTTTTTGTTGACCGCGGCCGATTTTACAGGGGGTGGAGCTTTTTCCGGAGGCGTGGTAGGTTTTTTCTTGAATATCGACAGCCAGCTTAGTTTACCCTTATCCTGGGATTTTTTCTTCGACTTTTCCCCGTCCAAATCCAGTTTAAGCGGTTTCATTTTCAGTGTTTCTGAATCTTTGAGCTTTTTCAATTGACTCTCCACCATCGTGAGCTCGTTGAGATGGGATTCTATCATCGTCATCGGATCACCGTACATGACAACGTTTTCCTCGTTGGGCTCCCAAACGTTTTCTGCCGGGATGACCTTGAACCTGGTGTTTTTGATTACGACTTTGGGAGGGTTTTCGTCCAATTTGATTTTAACAGAATGATTTTTTGGTTTCGGAGGGGGCGGGGCCGCTACGGCACCAGTCTCGTCCCCGGGCTGTTCCTCGATTATCGTGTTTAGGGATGTGTGCTCTGATAATTTTAAGACTACCTCCTCTTTTTGCAATTTGTCTTCTTCCTCATCGGGCATGCTCTCATCTCGTTGTACTGCCTCACTTCCCCCCGTTTCCTCGGTTTCTTCTGTTTCAACCGACACCGGCCCGTTCTCCACAGGTTTCGGGATTTCCACTAACTGGACGCTGCATTTTCCGTCGTTCTCCTCGACCACGACTACGTCGTCCATCTGTGGCGAGGTCTCATCTTCCAAATCGACGGACGTGTTTGCCGACGGCGTCTTCTTAATCCACTGGTCCCAGGTTTTCGGGCTGGATATGCCGATAAGACGGGGTGACGAAGCTTTGGTCACTTTCTCCACGTTCTCTTCCTCCATCGCATTTCAACCTGGAAAATTGCCACAGAACAATACACACGACAGCCGGCCGAATGACTGACTGAGAGCGTAGAGGCCTTGGCGAGATAACAAGTGTGTGCGAGCGAGAGTGGGGACCGAATCACGTGGGCTCCATCTTCGACTCCCACTTTTAGGAATGCCGTCACACGCTGGACAATTAACCCATTTACATCTGCATCGACTCCAGCACGAAAATGGCCAACGGTAAAAAAAAAAAAAAATGGACACTGCCATTCACTGACGACGACAACAACAACAAACACAAACAAACGACGCGAGCACGGAATTCTGCGGGAGTCGGACAAGGACTAAGCAAAGGGGTCTTTTTTCCTTGCGCAATACATAAACAGCCTCACATCCACTCCAAGGTCGCAGAAGCAAAATATATATGTTCGACATTAACAGCAAATCATTTCTAAGCTATCAACATAGGTGGACACATTTATGGAATGGCATAAGCAGATTAGCCCATTCGTGAATATTTTCAGTATCATATATCATCATCACATTGTTTAATTTAAGTGAATAGTTGTTCATTACAAATTCCTATTAATAATACAATGAATAACTCAACGATTGACATAATTTTTCAATATGACAAATCTCATTATCTTCTGCGATATCGGACAACTGCTAAATAATCCATAAAATAATTCTAGTGTCGACATAATTTGGAAATATGTAGCAAGATTTAAACAAAATCTTTCGTATTTACGTTTGAAGAATTAACTCAGAACGAAATATACAAAGTATATGTATAAAAAATTAATAATAATTTTTAAATTAATTGAACATATGTTGTATGGCGCCAAAACAGATATAAACCACTAGGGAATCAAATGAAATACAACACACCTTAGATACACGATGGTCATTGTGTTCAAACCATTTAAATGCAAAACACGCCAAGTATTGTTATGCGTTCACACCAACGATTTTATTTTTTACAAGGTGAACCACGTGCCACGGATCTTTCCGTTGGTACCTGCGAAATTTGTGGAGGTAAACCAGATTCGTATTGAATGTGTTATCATTCAAATTTACAATAACATCCTTACGTAATGGAGTTAACATAATTTTCGACTTGAAACATCTTTAGCTTCCAACGGCTTCGACTACCAAAGTGAAACCTGATCTTTGGGTTTGAATATATTACCTTGGGTTATTCTCCAATTTGTGAAATTTTATATGGTTGAGGTTAATGGAATTACAAGCGCACTAAGTGATACTGGCATTTCAAAGATGGCAATAAACATTCAGCTCTCTCTCTTTTCTCTTTACTTTTGAGCAAAAATATTTTTATATCTCTTGTCAGCAGAAGTTGATATTTCAACTTAATGGCTAATTTAAATCGTTATACTGGTTTAGTACATTTGTTTTTGTGCTGTTGTGTATGAATTAATGGCAGTGTATGAATAATAAGCAACCGATAATAACTATAACTATACATATTTTTAGTTCTAATTTAATATATTTCATTTCATAACTTGCTTCCCAAGAAATTCATCGGCATTCGATTTCCAACTTAATAAGGCAAATTAAATTAACCAATTGTTAGTTTATTCAAGCCCAAGGAATTACATAAACATGCACGACATATTTACCAAACATTTTCCAATCGCGGACGATCAATTTATAACATTGATTTTATTTATTTTATTTTGCAATTCCATGAATCTGACGTACATCTATAAAGAAAGATCAAAATTCAGCCTTGAAAATCTAATCACAACTAGACGCATTGTCCGGGCGTTTGGTTATTTTCCGGCTCCTTGACGGTAACCAGGCAGTGAAACAATCGAGCAATCATGCCGTTTAATTTCCAAGGCTACATACGTTTTATTGACCCAAAAACCAAAAGAATCAACAGTTGGGAGTACAGAAACGGTCACAAAAACAATTTTTTTTAAATTTCAGACTTCATAAGTACAATAATAAGTATATTTTGAAGAAAAAAAAGTCTCGAGGAATATCGAGTACTCTGTGGGGAGTGAAATTGACCAGACTTGTTTGTTTGTATCGGGTGGTGTTTATGTTAATTTAATGGAATAAATATAATGTATTAGCGTGAAAGGATGGGGGTGCTTAACCCCGCCCGAAGGAATATCGAGTACTCTGGGATGAGTGTATGAGGTCTGGAGACTAAACGTTATTACCAAGAATGGAATGGGTTGACCCCGCCCCGAGGAATATAGGAATATAGAGTACTTTGGGGTGAATGTATGACATCTGGAGAAAAGAGTGGGTTGGACACCGCCCCGAGGAATATTGAATTATCAGGGTGAGTAAATTTCATATAACCGGACTTCTATGTATGTATCAGGTGTTGTTTATGTTAATTTACTGGAATGAATTTATTAGCAAAAATGTTGAGGGTTGCTTAAACTCGTCCCGAGGTGGGAGTGTAAGTGACCAGTCTCCTATGTTTGTATCACGTGGTGTTGTATAAATCTGTATGTTTACAGTCTATTCTGTAGCTGGCAACCTGAGGTACAAATGAGAGGTTAGCATGTTAGCATCAACTCAACTTTCATACAAAAGCAAAGAGTCAGTGACAGACCGAGACGCTCAAACGGCTGCAGCTAAACGAAACGAGTGGAAGATCAGAAAACAGGGAAAACACACTGAGGGCCGGCGATAACAACCTCAGCCGTCGTCAACCTATAAAACTCCCACATTATATACAAGTATATATTTTAAAACGAATTTTAATGAAGGGTAAAAGTTTGCCAAGGTTTTAATTAATATTATTTTCCTTTTTAATTATCAAAATTACATACACTACATGATTGTATTCAAAAAGACAGGCTATGACTATATTTCTAATCTTCTGTAGTCTAAAAGTGTTTTAGACTTGAAAATATACGTGATAAAAAAAAAGACAAGCACAGATGCTTAATGGAGAAGAAATAATTTAAATAACAACAATAAACGTTCAGATCTTTCAAAATGGAATGTCTATCGAGACGTTTCCTAAATTGAAACTGTCTTAGTAGCATTAGCACGCCATCTAGAAGAAACAGGCAACAACAGATGTAATACGACAAGAGCATAATCTTTCGTGATAACCCCGGACCAACCCCCCTATCTATTACGACTATCGAAACAAAAAGATATAAGCATACAAATAAAAAGAGTAGAAGGCTATCTGGCAGATTCAACCTGAATGAACAATGATTTGTTGAGAATGAACTATGTCGGATCAGCGGTCTGATCATAAAATGCGTTGAATCACTAGATTTTTTTCTTCTGGCAAAAGGGTAAAAATGCGTCCTGATGCGAATTATTCATTACAATAGAAATATGTTCAATAGGGTTCCAGCTTATTCTGTAACTACCTGATGATCATTAATTTATTATTATTAGTCATGAGTTTATTATATAGACCCTTATTTGTTAATTTTAATTAAAGGAAAGCTATAAAATCGGTTCCGTGACCGTCCACGTTATGGTCACTTATGGCCCATCCAGAAAAGTACACCATCGTTTCACATCACACAGAAAATTTCCTCGCTCTCCCGTATGTAAATTATTTACTAAATGTCATTGTAATAATGTTTTTAAAAATCGTAAAAAAATAGCACGAAACACAAATCTAGATTTATGTACGAAGTCGCCTTCATTTCAAAAAGAAAGTTTATTCCAAATGCATTTACCAGGCTGACAAGAGGGTTTTTGTCACTACAAATCTGGAAGAATTGTGTACGGCTTGTGGCCACTGCTGGCTTTTGACGAGTTATCAGAAACCGTGTCAATTCTAGCCCATTCAAAGGTCCAGAAGAGATTTCACAAGAGCGCTTGTCCCGTTATACGATGTTACATAAAAGACTTTCCCTTACTCTATTTCCCTCCTTCATTGTATTCAACATTATCTACTTTTATTATACTTTTCTTATTGTCGATTTCTTTTGTGAATTCACCGGTAGTTTTTTTCCTTCAGTGCTGACTTTCACCATATAAAAATTATTTACAGTGAGAAATGAAACAGTTTCTAAGCTATTTAGACAAATCATAGATAAAACCATGGAAATCGAGGTATTTGGTCAGATGGAGTAACCAATCAAGTGTGTGTTTTTTTGCATAATCACGATGGTAAATGAAATGGCACTATGACATAAATAATCAATATTCAGACTAAGGGGAGAGCACTCTCAACAATTTTTCTTAAATAAAGAAAACAGGTGGAATATTAATCATCATTCAACACCTTGGGATATCGTCACTGAGCACACCCCTCGCCACGATAAAGGCACACTGTAGTTGATTTAAAAATCACCGAATAGAGACTAATCTGAGGGAAAACTTTTCTATTTAATGCATTGCGTGCCTGGCTATATGATAGGAAGGGGAATTGAGCCCGGGGACAAAATGAAATGTTTACCGGACACGCGAACTGTGTAATACTCGACGCACACAAATCTAAAAAGTGGCGATAATCCTTGGCTTTCGGCGGTCGAATAAAAGAACAGAAAACCGCTGTCGAAAATACACACATACATCCCACCTCCTCCTATATCCCTGGAAATAGCCCTGGACCTTTTCTATTTGCCAACGTCTATTTCCAGAGGCTTATTTGAGCAGAAGATTGCTCTTGAAAATAAGGAATTTCGGAGGTAAAGGTTAAATAAATTAAGTTTAAAATTTCAACTGGATTCTTGTTTAAAATAAATTTGTAACTTCAAATCCAAAGAGGGAAAAGATTATTCAGTTGTATTAATAATACCTTAAATAATTGCCATCATCATTGTGACCGTCTATTAGAGCTGCGTGCTACTGGTCAGACAAGCTGGACTAACGCCAACATAAATTTTAATGGTAATCTATGCTTTTATCGTATATTTTTAGTTAGAACTTATGAGTCAAAAAAGAAACAGTATTGTACATCGACGGAAATGAATTGACACTTGGGGAAAAACAGGAACGCATAAAAGTCCGAGAGAGATGATGTTTAAAACATGCTCGCAAGTCAATAAAATTGACAAATATTTGTACAATATTGTTACATTAAAAAAAAATTAATGTTAATTATAAAAACATACAAACAAATGTTGAG